GATAGTCCTATTCTGTACTCTTGGAATAAAAATTGAACGTAGAGAAAAAAATGATAACTAGCAATATAATTTAACATACTTAACGAAATTTCATTTTTCATATTAATTTTGGAGTAATAGACTAAGTAATGACAAACAATAATTTTAGTATTATTCAGAATTTGTAAAAAAAAAAAAAAAAAATTAATATCTAGAACGAAGATAATAAAAGAGCAAACATTCTTGCATCAGTTCAAAGAGAACAACTTGCGACTATTATCCTATCAAAAAATTATTACAATTGTTTCCGACTTTAATATGCAATTAATTGAATATCTTTGTACTTATCGTCTACTGACATTCAATGTGCCATTTCATTTCATTTTCGCGGTCAACTTCTTTGTCGAAGTTAATGCAAGTCAGGACGTCTCCCGTTGTCTTTCGATTTGAATAAAAATCGATCGTTTGAAATAAATAAATAAAAAAAAAAAAATCATTCGGTTCGATTGAATAATTCACTTGAAAGAATAACATTTCGCTTATGATAGCTTTGTACGATAATTGTACGCGATTACGATATTTTCACGACATCGAATATTTATATCCCTGTAAAAGTAAATTAAAAGACATATCCCATGTCCAAATTTATTTCCTTCGATATCCTAATGACAGACGGTGCACCGTGTTATATTAAAGTTCAAAAACCACCACGTACAACACCAAAAAATACAACACCAATAGCGACACCAAGTGTAGTGTAAGCCTTAACCACACACACAAGGTTATTGATATTATAATGGTTAGCGGAGCCTGTACACTCGACGAATCTCCGTTTCATCTAAATAAAATTCGTTCATACATCAAATGGTAATGCGTTAGTAGATACTGTTCTCTTTCTCTCCCTTCCCCATCTCCCCCCTCTCATAGAATTAAGATATTCAAAAACATATTCACACGAATGTTCCATGATATGGAAGACAATGATACCGAAAAAAAAAACGTGACAGTTTTGTTGTGGTTAGTAAAACGAAACGTGTTTCTGGTAGTTTTTCCTTTCGTGGCGATTCTAGTATTCGATACCGTTCGATATCTCCACGAATTTCTATGCTGTGCCGAAGAATCTGACTGGGCCAAACAGGGTAAACCGCGATAAAATCGATTGCCACGATGAAAAATTAATGAACGTTGGCGTGTTTCGCGGCGGTGCGGGTCGATTTCCGGTGAAAAATACGGGAGATCCGCCGCTTCGAAGAATCGACCGTATCATTCATAATTCAACGAAATTCTGCTGCACACGGTTAATCTCTCCTTGCTATTTCCTTGTTCTTTTCTTCTCGTTTATCTTTTTTTTTTTTTTTTTTT